AGATTATGACAGATATAATCCAGCATCTTTTAAAGATAACTGTCTTGGGGAATCACCTATATCCTAATCGTGTGTTTGTTCTGTAATTGTGGAATTTTGCATTTCCATAATTACATTCATGTATATGCTCAGAGATGCATACATTACCTTTGAAATGGCTAAGGATTATGATAAGAGGTACCATATTTGATGTTTGTATAGCATCTTGGAAAGTTGAGGAAGGGGAATGAAGTAATATAGTTATGTATAAGGCATATTTGAGAAGCTCAAGTTCTGAACAAAAGTATTTAATCTGAAACATTTGATATAAGTATGATTGTTATTAAACTAAATTAAGCTTATTTAAATCCTAGAGATTTTGATAGATTTAGTTTAAATTCAGATGCACTAAGTGATATTTTCCTACACAGCTTCAATTAGAATAATATGCAGAAAATTAACTTATCATCTCTGTGATTGGAAGCCAGTTGACCTATTACTTTACATGGAGTGTATGTAATGCTTTTTAACTAATACTGAACACAAGGAGAATTTACCTCAAAGTTGCAGCATGCAAGGAACTTTAATTCTTTTCTTGCTAGCTGTGATCTCCAGAATTTCACTTGTGTCCCTGCATTCTAGTTATTGTAGTTTCCTTTAGTTTCAAAGGTTTGACTGATCTCTCATTTCTTGTTGAAAGTACTGTATTGGCCAAAGTAAGAATTAATGGTTGATGTATTTATTTTTCTTTTGATTGTTCATATTCACTTTTATATTTGTGTTATTGAACCCGTGCCACTGATTTGCTTGTATAGTTGCTCTCAATCTCTATACATATTTTATATTTATTTCACCATTCACCATAGAATTATTTCAGAATCTGATTTTCTACCTTCAAGAATATAAGCATTGTGACTTTTTTTTTTAGCAAACATGCTTGTCAGAATTCTCATAATCCAGTACTGCTATATTGCAAGAACACATGAGCCCCAAAGCAAAATGTAAGATAACAGATTCAGCCAGTGAAAAAGGTGAAAATTGACTTCAAGGTGATGATAGCATAGTGAGAAGTTAAAGCTTTGAATTTTTTTCTTCTGGTAGTGTCATCCTTACTCTCTCTCTTAATTTAAATTGATGCAAATGTAAAGTAATAAAATCTCAAAATTTAAAAGTTAAGGATAATAGAAATATATGCAATTTTCTGAAGAATTTTAAGCTAGAAAATGAAATAAACTTGTGTCCTGTTATCTTCTTGCATTTGGAAATCTTACCTAATTTAGTAAACTCACTCCCAAGCAATTGTATATAGTAATTCACCTTGGTTTCATAATTATTAATCAGATAAATGCAAGACTAATAAAGCATTGAAACTGCTAAACAAAATTATTTGGATCTGATGTTTGACTAAGGTAAAACAGCCTACCACCATGTTTCCCTGAAAGTAAACCTGCCCCAAAAGTAAGCCCCAGCTGATTTTCAGGGAGTGGGCCTAATATAAGTCCTCCCCCCGAAAGTAAGCTCTACTTAAGTTCTGCATGGACGGCCTGCCTCTTTGACTAGGTGAAGCTGATGGGAGAGGGGCCCACTGCCCGGTTTGTTTCGCAGTCTCATGGTGACGGCAATAGGCACGACGCGCAAGGTGGGAAACGGCCGGTTTGCCGTGGCTGTTTGCTGCCTCTTGAGTTGCGCCCAATGATCGCCCCCCTTTCTGACCCATGTGCCGTTATACCGGTTCCTTACTGCCGCCCGGCTTGTTCCACAGCATCATGGCAGCGGCATTGGGCAGGAGGCGGCAAACGGCTAGTTTTGGCGCAATGCGGCCGTTTGCCGCCTCGTACGTCGCACCCAATGCCGCTGCCAGACCTACTATACATTAACTCTAATCCCCACTGCCCCCCAACCCTAACGGGAAGTGGGAAGCCCTGGGTAAAAAAATGGGAAAACTTGGGTGGGGAAAAAAACAGTTTTTCCCATTTGTTTGCAAACTGCTTTGGAAACAAATGGGAAAAATCTTTTTTTGCCCCACCCAAGTTTTTTCATTTTTTCCCTAGGGCTTCCCATCTCCTGTTAGGGTTAGGGGCCAGTGGGGGTTAAAGTTAACATACAGTAGGCCTGGTGGGTCAAATGGGAATCCGCCAGGCCTCATGGCCGTACCATTGGTGAGCGCAACGTGGCTCAGCCGAAAGCGGCCATAGAACAAGTGGGGCAGGTTCCCCCCTCACCTGCCCATTCTCTTCTCTGTGAGAGAAGAGAACTTCGCAGCTTTGCTTACAGAGCCACCAAAGCGGCAGGTGAGCATCGGAGGCTCGGGGAGGGAGGGTGGTGAAGTAGGCAAGCATCCTGCTTTTAGCACCCATGCCAGCTGCCCCTTCCTGTGGAGCCGGAGAGCTTGGCACACCACCACCCAGATGCCCTCGCTCCCCCCAGGAATTGCATTTCTTTCCTTACCTGACTCTCAGCCCTGTGCCGTTTCTCCTGGCAATCCGCCACTGCGTGCAGGGAAAGAAAAGGTTTTTTGGGGAAAAAAGGTCAATCAATCAATTCCAACTTCTTGCGAATCGCGAAGTTGGAATTGATTGATTGACCTTTCCCCCCCCAAAAAAACCTTTTTTTTATCTGCATGCAGCGGATCGTGAAGGAGAAATGGCACGGGGCTGGGAGTCAGGTAAGGAAAAAAATCCTCACTCCCCCAGGAACTACCCCCAGGAACTGCATTTCTTTCCTTACCTGCCGCATGCAGGGAAACAAAAAAAGTTTTTTTGGGGGGGGAAAGGTCAATCAATCAACTCGCGAAGTTGGAATTGATTGACCCTTTTCCCCCCAAAAAACCCTTCTTAGGAATTTTCACTTGATCTACTGATACTTCTCTAAAATGGATCTTAGTTAATACAGCTGATATTTGTTTTGAATATTGTACTATAGAAACTTCAATAGCCTGTTTATAGTAAGGTGTAATACCCAATTAAAAGAAAATGTTAGTGGAAAAGAAAGGGGAATTATCATTAATTTCATATAAGTATATGGGCTCCTTGAGCAGCAGGTTGGACTAGAAGACCTTCCAATTCTATTATTCTGTTATTCTGTTATATTATATCACTTTATTATTCATTTAGTATATGATGACAACAAGATAAAGATTAATAAGCATATATACACAATCCACATAATTGTATACAAAACCTCTACAGAGGTACAGCAGTGGCATTATAACTGAATGTCCAGTTCAGCTATCCAGGCAATCGCCTCTGGTGTTGCTTCATGCAGATCTTCTAAGGAACCAGAAAACGTACATTGTGGGCAGTCTTGCACAATATATTTAATAGTTTGCATATTATCCCCACAGTTGCAACAGGGGAATCATTCCAGCTCCATTGATACAGGGCAGAGGCACTTCTTCCAGTGTCACATCTAATTCTGTTCGGTTTCATCCAGACAGAGCAAGGAAGATTTAAAACCCGGTAGTTTGGTAGAGAGAAATCACTACCAGTCAGACCACAAGAGGCAGTCTGACCATTTCTCTCTCTAGGCCAGGGTAGGCAACCTTGGCTCTTTTATGACTCATGGACTTCAACTCCCAGAATTCCTGAGCTCACTTCTGAAAATTGAAAAAAAAAAGTCTTCACTTGCTTTGGAACATTTTAAAAAGATGGAAAAGTTATCACAGTGAGATAAAAGTAGCCTACTTTTATCTCACTGTGATAACTTTTCCATCTTTTTAAAATGTTCCAAAGCAAGTGAAGACTTTTTTTTTCAATTTTCAGAAGTGAGTCAAAATTCCTATTTTATTCAAATGCAGCCTAATATCAATCTAGATGAAAAATGCATTGGGCTGAAAATCATACAACAGATTTTTTTCCCTAAAGAATGCTATAATATACATTTCTTATAAAATAGTTTAAAATGAGTCTGACTTGAAATTCTGTAGGCACTGATCCAAATTTATCACTTCCCGCCTCATTCTTATATGATCAGTTGATTTTTTTTATAATAAAGATATAGAAATAATGTTTTACATAGTTTATCTTTTCATTTCTCCCAGTGACTCATAAACTGCGATTTGCATTATATTGTGTTTGTTTGAAAGAGGCAGTCATCAGCTCTAAAGTTGAGCAAATGCTTACATGTTGGAGATAGCTTTAAAGTCTTCCTGTTGCTATGGTCTTCAATTAAAGAAACAGATAGCAGGTAATGTGATAGATTTCTCTTTGGAAAGTTACTCTAAGTCAGGAATAATCTGTCTTTCATCAATTCAATGCTCAACTGATGTTGACATTTTGATCTGATATGAGAGAGCCTTTAAGACTGCTTTCATCAAGTGATGTCTTCCATAAGTAAGGAACTTCAATTCCTAGACTTTGAAGCAGCCAAAGATACAACTAGTGGTCGCCAAAAGAAGTTTTTCTGGTCTCCTGCACTATAGGTTTGGAAACTAAAAGAGAGTTGTGGCTTATTTAATTTTTTCCATCCTTCCCTTCAGTAATAGCTTCAGATGTTATAAGACATTTTTCTGCCTGTATCATATTAGCTAAAATAATGGAAACAGCCTGAGTAATGCTTTGCTTTGTACTTTAATATATTAAAATAGTTATTTTTATATCATCATTTTACTATAACATTTATTCAGCTATAGTTCTGAAAACCCTATTGTTTGTTAATAGTCATGAATCTAAGTGATACACTGATTAATGTATTGTAGTAGAATTTCACTGGCAAGATCAGAGTTCAGATATTGCTTGCTGGTTAGATATAGTGAAACCAGGAATTGTGTGAAGATAAAATGGGATTATCCTAGCCAGTAGCCTTCTTGGATATATTATTTAAAAATATAGTGAGTAGTAAAAACTCAGTGAAACTTCTGAATTGCTAAATCAAAGTCATGATAAATTAAAACTAGTTTAAAATAGAAATTATATTTATTCCTTGTTCAGAATTTTGGACTTCACATGTTGCATCTTATTTTTTTAATCCTGCTGTGACTTTTATTTAAGGTTGGAAATATTATGTATATTTTTTTCTTGCAGGGGAGCCAAAGCTCAGACATGTAGAAAAGGATATTTTGATTCCAAAAATAATGAAAGACAAAGCCAAGGAGCTGTGTTCTGAACAAGTGAAAGGTGAGAGTGAAATTCAACTATATATCAAATCAAAGAATTTATGTGACCTGAATTTTAATTTTCTAAGGTTTTCTTTTCTAGCCAGATTGCCACGGTAGCAAGCAATCTATTATATTGCAAATTCATTATTATGTAGGATGATCATAAATTTATATAATTTTTCAAAATAATTTGCTTAGTTGTAACTAAGATTAGTGAATTCTTCAAAGTCTTAATTTTCTAACCAAAACTGCACACTGGCATTTCTATTTGAGGAGCAACTGTTTAATTAAAAAACGCACCTATATTTTTATGCATGTTTCTATTGCATTACATGTACACAATGTATTTTATCTAGGAGATGGATTGTTAGTGTATGTGTTTATAATATATGTATGAGTATCTAGGTATGGATTTGGAGTTATGAACAGCGTTCTATGAAATGCATATTTCAGCATCTGTTCCAGTTGATATATCGGTCTGACCATGGAACACATTTCTTCATGGGGATGTTAATTGGGATGTCACATTGAAGAATGAAGTCTGGTAGACATTATGGGAAAAGATAATACAGGATCCATTTGCCTTCATTCATGGAAGTAATACAAAATAATAATTGTGATATTTAGTAGATTAAAGGAACTATCTTTATGTTGATAACTTTGTAAATTGCAGCTAAAACTAGAGATTCATATTGTAACAAGAAGTTATGACAAAATAAACTTCTATTGGTTCCCTTTAATTGGTTCCCATAATCTTGATCTTTTACCAATTCTTCCAGGCTCCAGTAAGTTAAGGAAAAGAAAAAACTTGAAACCTTCTCAAGTTGTGGGGTAAAGTATTGTAAGGTAGAGGAAGAAAATAGCTGCTTTCTCTCCCCCATTTTTAGGTGCTGTGAATAACTAGATGAGAGTGGTACTAGAAGTCAGATTTCTTTTCTATATAATCAAATTAAGCCTTGCCTGGCAGTATTTTTTTAAAGCCTAATTACCATCTTAGATGGGCCTATCCATTATTCTCTGTTCATTCTTCCTCTTTTGAAACCTAGCCCTTTTTTTAAAGCCATACACTTGTTTTCTTTGGAATTATTAAGATATCCTAATTGTTATTTTAAGCCCACAACTGTAGTTGCAATATGTGTGTTGAGGGATTGTAAACTAATCATTGCCTCCAAAGCCTTAAGTCTCTCTCCAGATTTATTGTCGGATCTTGATGCAAGGTACATTTTTATTTCTCCATCAGTGGAAGGGAGAAAACATTTTCCTTCTTTTGGTCTTGTTTTTGAACCATCATTGGTGGGAAGAAAATCAGATGTTGGCAGCAGATACACCTCTTCCTGATTGGGTGGGGCAAATTCAAATGACAAAATATCCTGTACTTACACTGGACAGTTACACTCAGTTATATATTGTCACCCAGTCTGGGAATCTGTGGGGCAGTCTTCTTTACTTGTTAGATGATGATTTTTGGAAGTTGGGAAATGCAGTCATCGGTTTAGAATAACGAACCTAAAATACAGTGATCCCTCTTCTGACATACATTAATGGACAAATGCAGTAGAAAAAGAATAAAAAATAGCATTAGTCAATACTATAGTTTCAGTTTAGGTGAAATGATTCTGGAAATAGTATTGCGTTCTACATTAAAACAGGACACAGATGGACATAGTGTAGGACTGTGAAAATTAGCCTTGCATGCTTTAATAATTAGAGAAGGATAAAATTTCTATTGCAGCTACAACATATGCTTTCTAACAGAAGGCAAAGGAAAGAGTTGCTTTAGGTCAGATGTTTTGTTTGTTTTTGTTTATTTTGTAAGGTACAGAGTATGCTAATGGCTTATAAGATATTAACAGTTATCACTACTAGAATTCTAAATTGAATTCTCCTTTATTGCTTTGAATTAGCGTAGGTTTGTCTTCTTTTTAGTCTTCCATATACTTAATATTCTACAATGGTTATTGAATAAAAATAAATTAAAAATTATTTATAATTATCTATGACAGCTGAGGGAATGAGAGCGCTTTAAAAATGGCACAAGACTCCCATTTCTGTCTTTTGCTAAACTGTCATTATGTAGAGCAACTACCCATATGTTTTGAAGTTTAGTGTAAAGGAAGTATGATGTTGTGAAAATTACAAATTTACCTAAGTCGTGTGAACAGGAGAGAAGTAGAAAAACTGAAAGCATTCACTCAAGGAAAGAAGCTCCAGTTGCTGAAATAGTTCCTTAATTGCAAGGTTGTCTTAAGATTAGCTTAGATGTGCAGATCAGTATAAAAGTACAATTAGTGCTTTATATACAATAATATATATATTATTTAAATGTTAGACAATTCATAATGTAAGTATATAGCTGTAGAATTGTAAAAGTGCAAAAAAATCATAGTGCTTTAATATGTGATCTGACAGAAAATATCCATGTTCATGAACATAGCCATGGAACACAGTAATAAGAAGAAAAAGGCAGTGATAACATTTTAGAGTAGGGTATTCTTTATAATAGAAAGCAAAAGCAAATTGTATTATCTATTAGAAATATAGATTTAGGACCACATACTTCTTTGGCCTGTTTTATAACTACTGTATTAACTATAGTAGTTCTTTTCCTGTCACAATAAATATTGCCAGTGTAAGAAGAGGAGGCTAACCTACTTCTAATAGGTGCTTCTCAGATGATTTGGCAGACCTCTATTCATGCAAACAAATTCAACAGGAGAAGGAGTTTTATCTCCAAAAAACTTAAATACTACAAAACTCCCTCTATAATGAAAGGTTGCTTTAGTCACTACTTGAAGTAGTCTGTGGATATATCTTAGCAAAGTTATGATCTAAGACAGACATGTCAAACACAAGGCCCGGGGGCTGGATACGGCCCACGAAGTGGTTTCATATGGCCCACGAAGCCATCCTGGAAACAGCAAGGGAACGGCCCCTGTTGCCTTGGCCCTGGCCCAGGCCGGCTGGGAGCCAATGTACAATTTTGTGGTGGCCATCTATGCTGAAACACATTCAGTCTTAGCTCCACAAGGCCGTCTAGAAACAGCGAGGAACCAGCCCCTGCTGTGTCAGCCCCGCCCCCTGGGTGCATGCTGGGGAGGTGTCACCCTTTGTGAGGAATGAAGAAATGGACCATGCCTTGGCACTTGCCCCGGTCCCACCACCTTCTGCCAGAGACCCTCAGATCTGTCCCACTCCTGCCCAGACCCCCACAGTCACCCTTGACACGAACGATGTAGAGCTGTCCATGCCCACCCAGTAGGCCACACCTACTCCATCCACGCCCACCCAGTAGGCTGCACCCACCCTGGCCACACCCACCCAGCCCCCCGAGGGCAATCGCAATGCTGATGCGGCCCTCAATGAAATTGAGTTTGACACCCCTGATCTAAGACAAATTCTAGAAAGGCTCATGAAAAATTGGGGTATAATTAGTAACAAAATGATTAAAATATTTAAATATCCACAGTTAAGAGCAAACAAAGTTTTAGTTCAGAAGGTTTAGAATACAATCATGATATACACTATATTATTATAGTAGAAGAAATGTTAGGCCTTAGCGAGCCTTTTCAATTAACACAAATGCTTTTGCTTACTTATAAAAATTATGCATCACTTCTGAAAGGACTTTAATTGTATTGTTAATCAGTGGCACAACTGTGCATGGTATAAATATTTCAATTTCATTGCAAATACTGTGGAATTATCTTTAAGAAATTGATTTTCCTAGTTTTCCCAGCATAGAGTACCATCTTGATAATTTCTAAAATCTCTTTCTGAAAATTAAAGGGAAACACCCAGAGGATGATATGGGACAGCTTTATTTCATGTGGCGAGAATTGCCCTCATATATACAGCTTTCTGTCTCTTATACTGGTTTTATCCTTATATTAAAAAGTTGCATTCCCAGCTGCACTGAAATCTGTTACGAAAGCTATGGAATATTGAATACAGGTGTTCCCATAATTGTGATACATTGTAAAATCCACAGTATTCAAGTTTACACTTTCACATATGTATTGTGATCATGTTGTTTAGGTGTGAATAAAACACAAACAAAGAGAATTCTCTTTCCATACATTTCTATTAATCTGATTACTTTGATACAGAGTTTTTATTTTCTCCCCAACATCAGAGAGAATATTCAATACTGACACACATATTTGAATGCATATTGTCATCATTATCATTGGTGTGTGTGTGTGTGTGTGGGATCCATATGGCTTACATGATTGGACTTATTTTTTTTAAAAAAAATCTATTCTTTATTTATAAGCATTAGCATTCCACCGAGATGCATCCTATATAAGCAGGGCTTTTCAACCTTTTCACTCATTGTACCACTTTTAGGATATGACAACATCCAAGTATCACTAGTCGCCTAGCAAAGTGTCAAAAACTTGATGACCCCCCCAAAAAGGAAAAAAGTGATAAAGTACAGGTAGTCCTCGACTTACAACAGTTCGCTTAGTGACTGTTCAAAGTTACAGTGGCACTGAAAAAAGTGCCCCCCAAGCCACAGCCGAGCAAGACACCTGCCTGCCCACCCGGCAGCGCTCTTCCTCCTGTCCGAGGTTTTCATTGTTGTGAGCATTTCTGTTGGAGATTGGCAGTGGGGGTGGGGTGGGGGATGTTTGGTTTTTATTCCCCGTCTGCTGGGTGGTTGCAGCAGGTTTTGGTCACTTCACATGACCCTGGGACGCTGTGACCATCATAAATATGAATCAGTTGCCAAGCATCTGAATGTAAATCACAAGACCCTGGAGATGCTGCAACATTCCAGCTGATCGGCGCTTCTTCTGGGCTCAGCAGAAGCACCAGGATCAGTGCTGCTTTCCAGCTGATTGATGCTTCTTCAGGGCTCAGCAGAAGCACCAGGATCAATGCCGAGCTCCAGCTGGAGCCTGGCGCTGATCCTGGCACTTCCACTGAGCCCTGACAGTCCCGAAGAAGCGCCGATCAACTGGAAAGCGGCACTGATCCTGGCACTTCCGCTGAGCTCTGAGAGCCGTGCAGCTCCAG